TTGATTTCATAAACTATTTGGGATTTCTTATTTTTATTTAAACCACAAGAGCTTTGCTTTAGCAGTTTATTACTGAATTTTGTTACTTCTCCCTTTGGGTAATTGCTTTCTTGGATGTCATTGTACATTCTATGAACAGATATGAAACTGACATCTCAGAAGGTGTTACATTTCTCCTATTTTTCAGAGGCAAAATCTGTGTAGACTTCTCTTTTAGTTACTGGGTTTTGACAAATTTTCAGTAAGTTATTGCAGCATTTTATATTATTTTTTTCCTGGTTTTTAAGAGGTTTCTAAAAAATTAATCAGATGAAATTAAACAGAAGTCTTCTGAATTAAATATTCCATATATAACTAGCAGTAAATTAAATTTTCACAGTTTTCTCAGATACTTATTCTAAGAATTAGGACTTTAAGTCTGTGTGCATTAATCCCCGATGATTCCATTAATTTAACAAGCTTGTTTATCCAAACAAAAGTCTCGAGATATGTATTCTTTTATAATTTTAAATATTACTTGTGTGTTTGTAGCATTTTTTTTACAGATTTTTAAATCAGAATACCTTGAGGATGTTGAAATAATATAGTTTGGGAATTATTAAATTTTGGGTTATCTACATAACTCTCTTCATAGTGGGTGTAAATATTTAAGATATATTTTTAAAAATCACATTTTGAAATTCTACTTTTTTGCTCTTAATGGACTTCCGGATGAAAGATGTTACTGTACAGGCCAGCCCTCTGAGTCAGTGGGAGCGGGCTGCCCCCAACCTCGATCCTTGTCCTCTCATATAAATGAATTTATACAAGACCCTGACTGCATTGTGAAAAGCCAGTTGATTAAAGCATGCAACCTTTATTGAAAAAAAGAAAGCGAGCAAACCTGAACATCTGGCTCATGAAATACAGACAGGCTCTAGCTCAGCTGTGGGCAAACTACGGCCCGCGGGCCTATTTGAAATGAATAAAACTAAAAAAAAAGACCGTACCCTTTTATGTAACGATGTTTACTTTGAATTTATATTAGTTCACACAAACACTCCATCCATGCTTTTGTTCCAGCCCTCCGGTCCAGTTTAAGAACCCACTGTGGCCCTCGAGTCAAAAAGTTTGTTCACCCCTGCTCTAGCTAATCAATGAGCAGATTGAGAGGGGATCCGAGGCATTGTATACCCTACTATCTATAGGTCTCAAAATTCCTTTGCCAAATATTTTGATACAAATTAATTCTCAAGGTCCTCTTTTTTTTTACTTCGTTATGGCATTTCCAGAAATCATGAGAAGCACCTGACAACTAGATTTTGCCAAGCCTTGAGACTGCTGGCTTTTCTGGAAGTAAAATTGCGCCCCCCCACCCTTCTGTATTCTCTCATTTCGGAGGTTTTTTAACCATTTATTCTGTGTCCTTGGCTCCTTGACTGGGGAAGATAATGGTTTGTTAGTTACAAGCTGGTTGCAGATTACCCACAATATTTGTCCTTGTTTTAACTCAGTTTCCCTATTCCTCCTGCCCTGGAATTTTGTAACAGCTATACATATTTTAATACTTGTGTCTTTTACCTTTTACATTAGAGTTAAGTGATTTATACACCACCATTAGATTATTAGAATATTTTGATTTTGACTATATATTTACCTTTATCAGTGAATTTCATATATTTAGGTCTTCAGGTTACTAATTATTGTCTTTTCATTTCAATTTGGATAACTCTCTTTAACATTTCTTGGAAGGCAGAAAAAATGGTAATGAACTCCCTGAACTCTTGTTTGTTTGGGACATTCTTTATTTCTCCATTTCTGAAGGAGAGCTTTTTCAGATTAAGTATGCTGGGTTGGCATGTTTTCCTCTTTCAGCCCTTTGATTATATCATCCAACTCTCCTGATCTAAAAAAAAAAAAAAAAACAACAAAAAAAAAAAAAAAAAAAAAAAAAATCTGATTATTGACTAATGGGTTCCCTTGTATGGAAGGAACTTATTTGCTCAAGGAGGATTTTTTTTTCTCTATAGTCTGAGTAACACATGAAAATAGAAACTGACATGATATGCTTTCTCCCACTGCCTTTCCTCTGGACAACTGGCTTATCTGCTTGGTGAAGCATCTTCCTAGTGTTCAGGGTCCACTCCATGGAAATTTGTTTTAATAACATCATAAGCTGTGCATGTTGGACTAGCTTCCATCTGAAGAGAAAAAGCCAAGGTTTCATTGGCAATTAGAAAAACCCATTTCTGATTTTGAGTTTAAAAGCTTTCTTTGCCCTGATTGTTGCCTTGAATAGCATATCTTCCATCAGTTCTGGTCAGTAGGTGTTTGGTATAGTGAATGTTCTATTTGTGTCTTTGATAGCCTGCAATTCCTTAGTATTATTTAATCCTGTAAGTAAATATTAAGCTCTGTATGTCAGCTACTGAAAACAAAGATCCTGAACGTCACCACTGTCTTCAAGGATTTCCCTATCCAAAGGGGGAAATAGGCACAAAGTAAACTAATATGTGATGTGTGTCAGCGCTATAAGTGGTGTGATCACAGAGCATGTATCACTCTACCCTCGAGGAGTGTGTATTTATGTTTCTAACATCCTAGTAGTTTTATCACTCTTAAATGTTTGTGTCAGGGTTCACAGTTGATATGCGTTTTCAAATGTAGCTGTGTTGTGTTAACTGTGTTCAGTTTAATGGCTTCAGGGAAAGACAGCACTTCACCTTCGTTTTACCCCACAGAACACATTAATGAGGTATTTTGTCAAGACTAGCAGCAGTAGTTTTTGAGGGCTTCTTAGGCACTGGAAGCTGAGCTGTGTGCTGAGAGCATGCAAAGTTTGTATGTTAGTCTTTTATCATTTAAGATGCTTTTTATAAATCACAATAATTGACTATACTAGGTAGGCTGTTTTACATTTTTTAAATAAAATTAAAACTCGGTCTTTGATGTCTTGATGAAGTAATACGTTTAGCTTTAACTCCCTGTTTTAAAGGTTTTCTTGGTTGGAAATGGAATTTACTCATTCTGTATTCTAGTCTTTCAGGTTGTTCCCTTTCTCCTCCTTTTTTTTGTTTAAATAGTGCTCTTAATATGTACACGGCCATTGTTGTGTATGTTTGTAGGGAAGATTCCTATCAGTGCAATTGCTAGATGGTCCTTCATGACAAGTGCTGTTTCTAAGCAAGGAAGGAGTAGAGAATCTGGCATGAGGGTAGGGCATAAACAACAAAGACTGGTAGAAAAGGGAGGCAGAGACAAAATAAAGATAAACTCTGGCTGTGAGACAAGATCATGAATATCTGTAAAAATAGTCTTAAGGGTTGCCTTTAAGTTTATTCAGTGCCATCCTTCCTGGGAGTACTTAAGAAAATTTTTTTAAATGTGAGTGTATTTCATTGCAAATATCCTATCTAATAAAAGAGAAACATGGTAATTAGCGTACATCCACTACCCTTCCCATTGGCTAAGCAGCGAGATATGCAAATTAACTGCCAGCCAAGATGGCGGCCAGCAGCCAGGCAGCTTGAAGTTAACATGAGGCTTGCTTGCTTCAGTGACGGAAGACTCCAACGTTCCCCGCCTGCCTTGCCGGCCTCTGAGCCTGCAGTTTGAAACATT